TCGAATCAGATTGACATGCGCGATCCTGGATTTCAGCTGGTCGGCTGAAAGAGTCTGTGTTCGATCGAGCCAAGAATGGGGATTTCTAGCCGTGCCAAGAACCTGACCTCGATCTATGGTTAGGGGTTGGCGTCCTAGATTAGCGACGTGAAGGAAAGGATCGGTTCTGGCAATCAAGGACTCTGGCGAGGCTAAACAATTCTCTGACGTCTTGTAAGACTCGAGATGCCTTTCCACGAGTAGAGCGTCATTGTCTCCGAATGGGGCCTCCACTCGTACTCTTCGAGATGATTCAGGTGGAATTATTACCAACTCGGATGATCGAACGACTGCTTCTCTAGACCTTTGCTTCACTGCCTTGCGCTTCTTCTGTTGCTTGCGATGCAGGCGTCGCTTCATAATCCGGTCGGACGCTCCCAAAGCTACTTTGAAAGCGTGACCGTCCTCGTCAACAAACCCAGAACCGACCGAATTCTCAATTGGAATGCTGCGACCAGAGGATCCGAATTGCACCGTACTATTCCCCTCCTGCCGAATAATAGACAAAGAGTATTGATCGGCAAAGTCATTACCGAGGATGAAGGGAGTAGTCATTCCTTTCACTACATAGGCCTCGACCGTCATGCGAACCAACCCCTGATCGGTTTTGAAATGCAAGTCGATGGGCACAAACCCTGATATCTTAGCATTACCGATGACTTGTACGAGGTTAATTCTCTGACCGCTCTTGAGTTTAGGAGGTGAGTCCATAGCTTCTAGAGCTTTGGTCGAAATTAGAGTAATATCCGAGCCTGAGTCGATGATTATCTCAGTCGGATTCTTCTCCTTGGGTCCTAGAAAACCCTGAGCCTTAGTAGCGGATGATCCCAGGAACGAACAACCAGGCGGTCGTGACATGAACTTGGGTAAGGCGAGTACCCGGTCGTTCTTAGATTCGTCTTTGGTCGAGCCCACATTCTTCTCCCAGTACTTCGCGATCGATCGGCGGCTCTTGCGGTTAGTCGAGGACTGATCGACTTGTCCGACAAATGCCGTCGCTGAAACTTCATTTACCGTTGCCGAACCGGTTTCCCCCTCCAGGGCCTCAGTCTGATCATTGGTGACCTCGGTCAGCATTACCGGGTCCGATTCAGAGGAGGTAGACTGGAGGGGTTGCTCAAAACCCGACTCAGTCTCACTGTCGAGAGCGTAGTATGTATTCACATAGTCGTCCTCTTCAGCCAGTTCTTCAACGGACATGCTAGCGAAGTTAACTCTAGCTTCTCTACGGCCTTTCCTTGAGTGAGGACACTCATCGTCCCAGTGGAAAGGACTAGAGCAGTGTCGGCATGGTCGCTTGCCGAGTTCCTGAGGCGTCTTACGCTTCGACTTAACCGAATCATCGCGTGGAAAGGGTGCTTTCCGATCGGTAGGTCGGTTGCGCGAGTCGGAAGTCTTGGACCGAGAGTCGACCGCGTAAACTTCAGCGTCGACCGCTCGGACCCTAGCGTCTCGATCGGATGCCAACCTCAGTAGCGTATCCTCATAGTACCTGATAGCGTTCTGAAGGTCGACAACCGATTGGTACAAGTGAGGCTGAAGAATGGTACTCCAGGCGATCGGAGAGCCTTCCAAAATCTCACCAATAAGTTCTGAATCCGAGTAATCGTAAACGAACTCGAGGAGTTCAAGTTTGCGAATATAGTAATCGGAGGGAGTCTCCCTTGGAGCCGTAGAGTCGCGATACTTGGCGCGATTAGCCTTAGACTTCTGCTTATCGAGCCAGGTCTTGTTCATGTAGTGATGACCGATCGCTTCCTTCAACAGAGACCAGTTCTTCTGGAGGCTGTCACGCTGGAACTCCGGCAAGGAGTAGTACCAGTTTTCGGCTCCTGCTCTTAATCGACGCGGAACAACTGCTCCGAGTTGCTTTGCAATGAGTCTTGACTCCTTAGCGATCTGGTTTACTTTCATGATCCATCGCGCGAGCGTGTCGATGTTACCATCCCAAGTTGGAACGATGTCGATCTTCAACTTGAGATCGAACCTTGGAAGGTTCGCCGTATCCTCCTCGCCCGACGATCGAGTATCGCGTTTACGGCGAGGTCGTCTTGGAGTTTCCGGACCGTCATCGTTTCCGTCAGGACCAGAGTCGTCTGGATCGCCGTGTCCTCGGCGCGGTCGTCTACCTCGGCCACCTCCTCCTCCGCCTCGGCCACTGCCTCCTCCATGGTGGTGGGAGTGATGAGGTCGGCGTGGGGGAGAAGGAGAGCGATGATCGTCTTCGTCGTCCGAAGAATCATCTGAAGGGTCAGAGGGTGGAGGAGACGGTTCGCGACCGAATAATTCCGTGTACCTGCGACCAGTCCGGCGTCGGTCGCCATGATTTGGGAGAGCCTGTGATCGCAATCCTGGAACTCTGGTGATCGGGTCGATCATCCGTCGAGTCGGTCGAGCTGGTCGTCGTTCCTCCGCTTCACGACTGTGCTCGTCGCGACGAGTCGATTTAGAAATGTGTGGCGGTAGATCTCTTTTCTTACCACCTCCTGCTTGCGAAATCGACGAACCAGCTCCCTTAGGTCGTTCAGGAGGCTTAGGGGCTTCCTCTTCCTCCTCCTCGACTCCAGACGGGAAAATCTTTGCGATCCTAGTGAAGTACTTTAGCACGGTCTCCACCTCGTCCCGGTAGCATGCACAGAGAATTTGGTAGTCATGCGGAGTGTATGCTACACTAGGATCGAGCCCGTCTTTGTCGAATACGGGAACGTTCGGGACTTCGTACAGTTGACCATTCAGAAGTCCGGCAGCATTGTAAAAGTAACTGCTGAGCTTTCGTTTGAGCCACAGGTAAGTGTGCTCATCAGGTCGGATAGCTACGACGTGCCCGTCCTCGTTGTACAGAACACTAGGAAGCGTAATGAAGCTATCCAGCTTATCAAAGATTTCTTTCCAAGCTCTAGTTTCCTTTCGCTTGAAGCCTTCCATAGAAATCTGAGCTGGTAGGGAGTACAAGTCTCTCTGAAGGTAAGAGAAACCGATCGATCGAGCCTTAATCCTCTTCGCAATGTCCAGATCGAGCGATTCCATGTAGGATAAAGGTGAGGCGGTCAGCGGCGCGTGAATAGAGTTCATCTTTTCAGCAAAAGGAACGAATTCGGTGAGGGGAAGCCCACCGATTAATTCGTGGACCGGCAAAGAGGAGAAGTCGATCGGTTGACCCGAAACAATCGGATCGGCGAATAGTTCTTCGTCGAGTCTCTGTTTCCCTTTGCCTTTCTCAGGCGATTGAGAACCAGAGTCTGGCTTCGATGCATCTGAATTTCCAACATTCTCGAAGCCTGAGCTTCCTGCGGGAGTAGCGTTAGCGTTAGCCATCTTGAGCTTGCAAAAAGGTTAGTCGGAATGTTCGTTTGATAAAAGTGGACCCCCCAACGTCCACCAATGTTATGGACTGGGATTGCTAACTTACCGAGTACTTACTTAGTAACAACCGTCGGTAGTTACGTAATCGTAGTCGCCTTAGTTAAGAAATGAATTGAGGATTATCTCGTTGTGAAGAGGATTAACACAACGATTTGAGTGATCGACTTATGAGGTTTAGTCGATCGAGAATCGATTTCGCTCAACAAGTTCACGCACTAAGTCCGGAGTGGCACAGTAGTGCCTACGTTCTTAATGAAGCTAAGAAACTTGGTTGAGCAAAGTAAGTCGGTTACGACTTTAGTGAATAGAGCGTTACAACAATAGTTGAGGATGCCACTAAACACGAACCCGACTCTAACCGTAGATCGATGAAGCTTACTCTTACCGAACCCTTCAGAGTAGCGCGAGGCTATACTATTGAAGGGGTCAAGGTAGATCGACTTAGCGCACGGCTATAAGTACGATCGACCTTAGTATGTCCAGCGCGGAGCTATGGACGATCGAGTGGCTCACACCAATAGATTGAAGTTCAAGAGAGTGTTATTTGTCTGGTCACTACCACAGTGTTTAAATACATTCCAAATGTACTAGAATATTCTACAAGAGAACAATAGCCTTTCCAATGTCCTCGGTCGAGTACCCCGTATACTCATTGTTCTTAGACCGAACCGATCGGCTTTAGTTCGGTTGCCCTTGCCGAGTCTAGACAAGTCGATCCCTCGCCCGAGCGATCTCCGGGATCAGCTGATACTGACTCTAAAGGGTAAGTAAGGACTTGTACCGGAAAGGAAGGTCTTCGCCGTAAGTCACGTGTCAGCGCTTAACCACTTTGACAGGCTTTCGCGACTTAGGCAATCCCTTTGACGTTAGGCCTACCTAACAGAATCCGACAGATCTACAGCATGTTAGGGTGTGGTAAGGGAGCATGCTAAACAGTAATTGATTCACCTTCGACACCGGCGGCAGATGGGCTTGACTCTGTGAGCAGTGAGAAGGGGCAGAACATATGTAATGATGTCTATTCACCTTTAATGGCGTTGTCAGTGGACTCATCACAATGGTCGCTTCCTGTGTATCCGGAGTTGTAGAAGGAACTGCTAGATGCCTTGTCACTCCTCACATCCTCAGACGTTACTGAGGGAGCCGTGTGGCCGTCAGACGAGCACATCTCGACCTTGGCAACAGAGTTCACAGGAGGAGAGATGGGCGAGTCAGACTCGGAGGAAACCAGAGAGGGATCCATGAGCTGTGTTTTCACCGATGTGGGCCGTGTGAGGGAGGAGCTCAACGTTGCCGCCGGCGTCGGACACCTGCAGCTGAACGCGGGGCATTATGTAAACGGAAGCCTGAGCCGGACAAGTCATGTGACATTTCCGTCTTTATTACTTGGAGTTGTACAATGCGTAACATTAATGGCCACCAGATGTGCATATGGCCACCCAGCGTACCATTCTTCCACTCGTCAAGATCTGACCGAAGAGGAGGTCTCCGTACTTTCACGCACGGCGCTGTGCAAGCCTGTGTACGCAGGGATGAGCTGGCGCCGCTCCTTCCTTATCGGGTAGCAACGCGGTCATGGACCGCTGCCGCTGCGTCCTCTTCGTCTGCAGGCAACCTGCAGGCCTCTGCAGGCCAACCGTTTCCATCGGGCTCTCTTTTCATAACGGCTCGGCCACAGTCAGCAGCGATATCAATCTCTACCAAAGGCAGCAACTGTAGCCATGTCTGGCTGAGCTGCACGCGTGCGGTGCCGGCGGAAGCTCGAGTGACGCTCACTGAAGTCACAGAGGCTCGCCATCATGATACTTAAGTTAGTAACCGTGGAGGACTGTTCGCGGTGAGAGATGCTGTTTAGTATTACGCATCAATGACTCAGCGGCAAGATAGTTATCCCTGCTCGAGTCAGAGTGTTCCCATGCATCCCTATCCGAGGCCGCTCTATGGGTCACATCATACTCGGTGGAACAGCCTGCCTGGGGGTGGTCGCGGACGACGGTATATAAAGAGCAGTTCAAACAGAGAGGGCCCAAGCACCGGAGCATCTAGTAGCGACTTTGACTCTGAATCACCGGAGACGCAACCCAAACAATGAACAGCACTCTAAACACCTCCATCCTCATTGTAAGTTTTTCGCACTGGCGTTTTCTTGCTGGCATTCATGATTGCTCTCCACAGGCTGGTGCAGGCCCCTCGGGCTTGGTGCTCGCGCTCGCGCTCGTGAAGAACGGCGTAAAAGTGCGCATCATTGACAAGGAGCCGTTCTATCGCCCTGGTCAGCGTGGCGCCGGCATACAGGTGAGCCTTCATTCATGGTAAACTTGAAGATCAGGAACTTTGGCGGTGCTGATGCTCGTTCCATTCCCTGTAGCCTCGAACTCTCGAGATCTTCAACTACCTCGGCGTCCTCGATGACATGCGGGCCAAGGGAATCATTGCGCCAACGCAGCGCCGCGTGTACAAGTTGCCGGGTGGAGTCGAGCCTCTGAAGACAGTCAACATGCTACAGTACGACGAACCGACCCCCTCCACGCCGATCGTGCGTTAGATCTCTGACTTTGACCTTGCATGTGTATAGATCGCTCACCGTTCAGCCACCCTGAGAAAGGCCAATGGTATCCACATTGGTCAGGAGAATAGCGAAGCGATCCTGCGAGCCCACCTCGCGAAGTACGGCTGCTCGGTTGAACTCGGGACCGAATTGCGCGATCTTGAACAGTACCCCGACCACATCGTCGCTCACGTCGCCAGGAAGGCTGGTGATGCGGAGAAGATGGACACGATCACCTGCCACTTCTTGGTCGGGACTGACGGAGGCAGAGGTAGGTTTCTGCTTGGATACGAGGCTTCTGACGTGCTGATTTTTCGTTGATCTTGCGTAGGAGTCACCCGGAAGTTACTCGGCCTGACCTTCGAGGGAGAAACCCGCGCTCAGCACACTTTGGCGAGCGAGATTGAAATCTTCAATCTGGACCGGAACGTGAGTAGCTCAATCCATTTCACAGCCATTACTGACTTCTCTATGCATAGTGGTGGCATCAATGGGGCGACATGTCGACGATCTAGTGCGTGCATTCTCTTAGCAGGTTAATGGCAAAAGGCTAATCGTGATGCCTGCTCGCAGCTGCATGATGCGTCCGACAGAGACACCCAATTCGTTCTATGTCGCCCTTGGTGGCAACATCGACTACGAGAAGCTCGAGTCAGACAAGGACGAATTCGTCAAGGCCATCTACGCCGCTACCGACCGGTACGACTTGCAATTTGGGAAGCGCCACTGGATCTCGGATTGGCGGTGAGTACCTACGACTTAAGGACATACGCACGTTACTGACGGTGCTCTAATAGCCCGAACATTCGCATGGTGAACAAGTTCCGCGAAGGGTGTGGCTTCGTCGCCGGAGGTGAGTACTTTGTCAAGGACGCCTCTCTATAATGACTGTTCTAATGCCTTTGGAAGACGCCGCGCACGTTCACAGTCCGACGGGAGGCCAAGGCCTAAACTCCAGCGTGCAAGACTCGGTATGCGACAGCTCAGTTTACTTTAAACAACTCCGGTAACTCATGCTCTACTACAGTTCAACCTGGCCTGGAAGCTCGTCCTCGTCGCGAAAGGCTGGGCTTCCCTCGACCTGCTCGACACCTACACCGAGGAGCGCCTCCCGGTCATTGCCGCCATGCTGCAAGAGAGCACCGCGCTCCTTAACGCTCTGCAAACCTCGAAGACAAGCGGCAAGGACGACACGGCGTGGAAGCGCGAGAGGCTGCTGAAGATGCTCGGCATCAACTACCGCTGGAGCTCTATTGTCGTGGACGAGCGCGCGGAGAAGCCGAAGGAACCGGTCGACGTCTATGGCGGCGAGACGGGTGGCGATCTGCGCGCGGGCGATCGTGCGTTGGACGCTCCGGGCTTGGTCGTTATCGACGGGTCTGGCGACCAACAGGCTACGCTGTCGTTCTTCAGCATCTTCCGTCCGATGTACCACACCGTCCTCCTCTTCACCCCGGATGGCAGCGTCGTGCAGCCCATCCTCGAGGAGCTGAAGCGCTACCCCACTGGTAGCGTGAAGACCGTTGTCGTCTATCCTCGCGATGCGGCGGATGTATCCACCGTTGTTGAGGCTGACTTCACCGCTGTGGACAACGAGGGCCATGCGTACGCGGCGTACGGCGTGTCTATTGAGCGTCCCGCGACGGTCGTTATTCGCCCTGACGGTGTGGTGGGTGCGATTGTGTTTTGCCTTGATGGGTTGAAGGCGTACATGACTGCCGTGTTCTCCGCACTCTAGTATGGCCCGTCCAACGGAACTCGCCCCTAAGAAATGTATACATGCTACGTCGACTTGGATTGCAATACAGTGGTGATGATTGAGAGAAAGAGACGACTCGGAAGATATCACGAGGGATCCGTAACCCGTAGTTCGGCAACAGCGTGCACGGTGCCGGTGCGATACTTACTACATAGTACTATAGTCCTTGCCAGCGCTAGTAGGTAACCTGAGTCATGACTGCGACCGACTGAGCTGGAGGGTCTGTTGTCTGCTTCATACGATTCCCGTTGCGATCACTTCGACTCGGTCAACGCTCTTCCTCTATTCTACGCTGCGATCCGGGGTGGTATCGGAGCAGTAACCATTGTGCCACTGCCGTGCCATGTTCCTTCTCTGTTCTCTGTGCCTGAAAGGTCGCATACAAGCACTGGCAACGCCTCCTCCCCAACCTGCCTCTGTCCACCACTCATCCAGCGGTGTTGTCTAGTACTGCCTGAGACATCCCGTCTCAACTATCGCTCAGCTCGTTGTCCTATTCATAGCTCAGTAGTCCTCTTCCACGACAGACGTCTCGGTATGGCCCACATCCTTTCGCCGTGATGCAATATCACTAACAGAAGTACTTGAGAAGTACAGCAGTTACGCGATGCGAACTTTCGTGGTCAATGAGAGGGTCGCCGAGGATCATCACGAACGTGCCAGTAGCCCCATCGACCCCGCGCGCTGCGCAGCCATCAACAAACTCCCGCCGGATGTTCTTCTGCTTATTTTCCACCAAGTACGTTACACTATCCAGGAGTCTCCAGATGGGAGGATTCCCACAATTGGCCAAGATGACACCCACCTGCGACCATCGTACCAGCACCCAACGCGGACGTACTTCTTCTCAGAGTTGATCGCCTCTGTGTGCCGCCACTGGCGGGAGGTCATGTCGGCGACGTCCTCCTTCTGGACCCACCTGGTCATTTGGATTGGCGAGGAACCGACACCGCTCTCCCATATACGCGATCACCTAGCGTGGTCGCGGGAGCATCTCCTCGATATCTGCGTGTTGTCGGGCAGGCCCCTTGGTGCTCCGTACTCGTCCGCGATGGAGAAGGCACAAGTCGACGCGACCATGGAGCTGCTCGTCCCTCACATGCAGCGCTGGAAGACTCTTTGCATGAATGTCCTCTACTCTACCTCGCTCCCGCTTCCTCGCATCGACATCGTAGGCCGTGCAGACAACCTAGTCGAGCTCGAACAACTGTTCTTCGATGACTCTGCTGCCGTCGCCGATGCCGCCGACTCCTCAGTCATCAGGGAATTCCATACACCTCGGCTAGACGTACTCATCATGAGTGGCCTGCACTTCCGCGAGTCCTACGTGAAGCCGTTTCCTCGACACGCGATGCCTACGTGGCTCAACGAAGTCAAGATCTTAGGATACGGCGCCCACCACCCCGCATTTCCTGTGGTCGACCTGCTCAGATGCCTCGTGAGCTGCGAGGTATTGGATGACGTCGAACTCGCGGACCTTGCACTCGATCTTTCCTATATGGGACCACCCGTACTCCCGCCTGCTAGCTCATGGACGCCGTGCGTCTGCCTCGTGGGGCTGCCAGGCAATATTATAGCGGAGTATCATCGCTTGCTCGACTACCCCTTCGCCGAAACAATTTCATACACGCGTTGCACCATGGAGAGACCGGCCCGGCTCTGCGAATGGCACTCCCTCGATCTCAACGAGATAAATAGCCCGCCGTCGCTCCTAAGCTTCCTCTTGCTGGGGCAGAATAGGTTTTCGGGGAACGAGGTATCGTTCACGGACTGCGACGGACTGGTCCCCGCTGTTTTGTCCTTCATTGCTCGGCCATTGCTGGGCGGAGCCCTGTGGCCTTGCGCCACAGTCACCCGCCTCACCATCGACAGATGCGAACGATTCCGTAGCTCGCATCTGCGGGAAGTACTCGAGGCGCGACGCTCCGCGCACGCCGCGACGGGCTATGCAGAACAGGACGATCCGGGGTTCGTGGTTAATCCGATCACGGAGCTCTATGTGAGCGACTGCTGCGAGCTGGACCCGGGCGATAAGGAGTGGTTCGACGCGAACGTGTACTGGGTTTGTTGGGACAACTGGTGGGGGGGCACTGCCAGTCAACATCACAACTGGCCGCGGTCGTGAACGCAGTGCTGGGTGTGTGCCATCTAGGTCTAAGTACTGTAGTTCGGAAACCCATGGCCTCACGTACTGTAGAAATCGTTATATCGTTCAATGGAACGTGAGCACGTACGCATGAGCCATGACAGTACTCGGTCTTCGGTGCATACTACCTTACCAATTTTACGGAGCCAGCGACACGCGCAGTCGTCAAACGTCCCGCGCCCATAGTTGCCTGTCCGACGTTCAACGGGGCATTAATGTCATCCGAGTCACTTAGACTTCGTAACAGTATCTACCATAGCCATCGCAGGCAAAGAACCCTGCGCGGGTACCGATGGAGACAGTACTTGTTCGAGTCGCGAGTCGCGAGAGGAAACATCCCCACCGGACGCCGCAACTTGGCCATGTATGGAAGGGCCATTACAAGCGACTGTATTGACCGCCTGATGTACCATCCACTCGGCCCTCCTTCAACCTGAACATCGAAGACCCGTGAGTAAGAGCTCAGCTCCTGGCAGTGTTCATCACGACATCCGACGGATAGCTTTCCTAAGCTGTCCGTCCGAAGCGATGCGCCCGGGCGCGATGGGGGCCATGCGACTGCGCGCAGCTCCGAACAGCGCCTGCCATTCCCCTATATGAACGATTGTTGCTAGTTGCACTCAGCCTACTTATCCCCATCTCCTTGATCAATCCCCGTTGACCCACCAAACCTCACACATTCGACATGGGCCTCTTTGATCTCTTCGGGCACGACGACGCGCGGCAGCACAACGACTACATCTACAACACGCAGTATGTTCCGGAGCACCACCAGGCCTCGTTCACGCACGAGGCGATCTCTGCCGCAGCCGGATTCGAGGCCATGAAGGCATATGAGAATCACCTCCGCTCGACGGGCCAGCAGCCCAACCACGCTCTGATGAAGGAGCTCCTCGCAGGCTTCGCTGCCGCCGAGGTAGACAAGTGCGTCTTCCGATGCTGCTTCTTTAGCCGAATCTAATCAATTTAATGGGCGCATAGGCTTGCTGAGACGAAAGGTGCGGCCCCTTGGCGTCCAGATGCCAGATCTCCAGGACCGAACTGACGTTCTTGCGTCGCCCAGGTCTTGACTACCTCGACCGCGAGAAGGCCAAGCGCCAGGCTGTCGAGCAGGCGCACCACCTCGCCAACGAGCGGTACGGCCACGGCCAGAACGGTATCGAGTACATGCGCCAGAACGGCGGGTACGGCAACGACTACAACCCGGGCTATGGTGGCGGCTACAGCGCCCCACAGGGATACGGTCCTCCTGGCGGTGGGTACGGTGGCCCTCCCGGCGGTGGATACGGAGGTCCTCCTGGTGGTGGCTACGGCGGGCAGCAGGGCGGGTATGGTGGCGGAGGTAAGCATGCCATTCAGTCATCAGGTAGCCTAGTACTGATTGTGCTGCAGGCTATCCCCCTCAGGGCGGATATGGCGGTCCCCCGCAAGGCTACGGAGGCGGAGGCGGAGGCGGAGGCGAGTACGGTGGCTACCGGGGCCAGCCTAGTGGGGGCTACGATCAGTATTAAGCGTTCCTTGAGGTATGTGCCGGCTTTCCAGCTTGAGATCAGTGTGGAGAGCTTACGTCCCGCAAGCGAATGCCAGGAAGTCGTAACGACCAGTGTACACCAAAGCTCTTGTTGAGGGATGATCCACAATGTAAACAATCAGTCGTGTTGGATGTCAAAGCCGTAAATCTGTAGTATATTCGTCATAACTCGTTGCAATGTTTATCACGCCGGGGGTACTGGGACCAACTGTCAACCACAGACTGCACCGAGTACCAGGAGAGCCGTTCACACGACGTCAGTGTCACTGTCCGAACACGTCGGGATTCCCAATGAATACAATATGTCCAATAGCAGTCCATTAGGAGACCAATCGTCTTTGAGTAGGATGTCCACAACTTTTGACAGGCACACAAAGGTTCATCGACATCAGCAATGCATCTACCCTCTTACCAGTTGAGGTCACACTCATCGGGCCTCAACGCGCACCAGAGCGGCTGAAGCGCGATGCTGCGCACGCCGCGCTGCTGCATCCTGAAGCTCACGTCGTGCAGACGCGGGAGGGCCGCGGTGACGTTGCCGCCCGCCCCGCTCCAGAAGAGCTCCGCGGACGCCCCCGCGCGGGGCCAGACGATGGGGTCGAGGTTCGACGGGCCGGACTGCTCGGTCCAGAGGTTGTGCTGGCCGCCCGCGACGAGGGAGTACTGGTCCGAGGTCAGGTTCGCTAGTGGGTCGAAGGCGTAGGAGTTCTGCCATGTCTTGAAGGGCTCGCACCACGAGTTGCTAGGAGGGCATGAGCATTGAGCACTGGGGATGTCAGCGTTGTAAAGAGAGACTTACCCAGCGGGGTAGTCGCCGACCCAACCTCCTCCACCACAGTCCTAGAGGAAAGGCATCAGATGGACCGAGTGATGAAGAAGCGAGGTACGCACGAGGTAGAAGTAGTTAGAAGCAGCATGAATGATGCGGAAGCCCTTGTCGGCGACTGCCTTCACATCCTCGGAGGATATCCATACGCTATCATACGTTTAGCATGAGGAAGCACAGCTTCCGCTACGCGGTCACTCACAGAACATAAGTCTCGTTGGAGAGAGTCAGGTTGTAGTTCAAGACCATCTCCTCCCAGACCACTGGCGTCTTGCCCGCCGCCTCCAGCGCAGCGTGCGTCTGCTGCGTGAAGCCCGACAACGCATCGTTGAAGCTCAGCCCGGTCGCGTTCAGGTCCCTCTGCGTCTCCTCGTCGTCATCGTAGCACGGCATGTTGATCTCGTCGCCGCCGGTGCTGATCAGGCTCGAGGGGAACATCTTCGCCAGCTCCGTGAAGAGCCCCGCCGTCCACGTCGCGATCGTCGAGTTCGTGAACCGCAGCTGGCCAGCGGGCGGCTCGTTCGCGTATGTCGCCCACGGCCGCGCCTGGTTGCAAGCAACGAAGTCGGGGTGCGCGTCCGCGATCACGGCGGTGTGCCCTGGAGTGTCGATCTCCACCATCACGTCGATGCCCCGCTGCTTCCTGTGTGAGAACCATAATACCTCCGGACGGTCTGGGAACACTCACCGCACCGGCGTAGGACACGATGGTCTGCACGTCGCTAGCAGAGTACACCATGTTGGGGCCGTACGCGCCGTACGCCGCAAGTTCGGTGTAGCCCGGGATCTCGAGCGGGAAGCTCTGGCTGTCGACGACGTGCCAGTGGAACTCGTTGAGCTTTACCAGGCTCATCGTGTCGAGCGTGCGAAGGATGTCCGACACCGGGAAGAAGTTGCGGGACGTGTCCAGCAGCAATCCACGGTACGGCTGTCATTGTCTTAGCTGACACGCTAGAAATGAAGGCAGTGAGACTCACGTAGGCGGGCTTGTCCTCAATCTCCACAGGCGTGTTGACCGCGTAGACCGTCCCCTCATACTCGTACCACAGCTGTCCGAACGTCGTTAGGCCGCGATACAGACCAAGCGTCGAAGTCGCTGTGATCGTCGCGGCCGAGCCATTCGAGGGCACGGTGAGCGTATAGGCCTCATCCCTCTCATCGAGGGGCTTCTGCGCCTCCGTCGTGATCGAGTTCACCTTCGAGCCCGGTGCGAGGGACAACTGGAGCTCCGTGAGGTACGCCGCCGTCTCGAACGCGCTGACATCGCTCGCGCCGCGGCCTACGACGAGGCGGCCGAGGCTGTCGGTGAAGAGGTAGCCCTGGGTGCGCCCGATGGCCTCGTAGAGATCGAGCGGGGCGCTGAACGCGACGCTGGGTGCGAGGGTGATGTGGAAGCCTGGAGAGAGCCGGAGGGCACTTGTGCCCTCGGACAGGCTCTGGGGAAGCGGCCAGAGCGCGCCGACCCGAGACACGGCCGCGAGAAGCGAGGCAGCGACGACGACCGCACGGTGGAACATGGTGGGCAGAGTCAGCTGTGTGCTGTGCGCTCCTGGAGCTCGCTCTTGTATGTCGTTCACACAGGGACGATCAGAGGCTAATCACGCCGCGTGTAGACCCATGCAGGTGTTGAGCGCGTCTTGAGCGCGTTCCGCGACCGGTGCCAGCTGCCGACCTGGCAGTGACAGGCCTCCAGTCGCATGATCCCCTCGTCCGCGATATGTCTGCCCACGGCTTGTGCAAATACATCCTCGGTGTGCTCAGGCACCGACGACCGGTGGGATTCTGATCTTTCTTATCGTCTATTTCTTGCCAGTCCTGGGAAGCTCTCGATGAAGCTCCTGCGGCGTTCTCCAGCCTCGAGGCAGTACAATGGTTGTACGAAGCACTCACGAGCAAAATAGCGCGGATGGCTATTACGGCAAAAGCTATGCTGGAGGTCGCTGCGATGTCACCTTGATGGGACCGAAATGTAGCATGTATCATGTATGACGGCGCAATCAGTACTCAGCGCATCCGCGTGCGTTGCTCGGCAGGATATCATCGCAAGGGGTATTTTGCATGCCGACACATCCCAGTCTCGGAGTAAAGAGTCGAGTGAGAGTGGAAGAGATCTCCATCATCCAGTTCAGCTCAGAAAAGACAGTTTTCTAGATAGTAGTCGTAACCCACGTGACACTAGTAACAAACGCAATACCGATTGAACACCGCACAAACACCTAGAAAAGCAGATCGTCCAACCCATTCCCGGCTTGTGAGTTCGAGGAGGACGTCTGCGCGGCCGGCGTCGAAGTACTCCCAGCAGCCCCGAACGCACCAAAGGCGCCTACACCGGACGCAGGCCGGGCATTGGTCGCTCCCCAGATGCCGGCCTGTGCCTTCTCCCTCTCCAAGTCCTTTATCGACTTAGCACCGGCGGCCGGCGTACCTGGCTTACTTGCCGACGGCGATCCAAGGGACATGGACCACAAGTCCTCGAAGTTGGCGCTAGCGGCGGGCTTCGGCGTTCCAGTCGTCGCAGGCGGGGTCATGGTGTTGGCCCGCGCGGGTTGCGATGGGAAAATGGACGGCTGCATGGACGCCGTGGTAGGTGACATGTATGACGGGCGCGCGTACGTCGTTGTGGCAGGGGAGGCCGTCATGCTGCCCATGCTCATCCTGTTCGTGTTCATGGGCTGCATACCCGGGCGCATGCTCTGCACAGGGCTCATGGAAGTCATGGGCGGGCTCATCGTTTGCATAGGGGGTGTCATTGTCTGCAATGGTGCCTGTTGAGCGAAGAGGGGAGCAGCCATTTGTTGTGGTTGGGCAAGTATCGGTGCCACAGGAATAGCGGGCGCCGGCGCCGCCGCAGGTGCTGTTTGGAAGTCGTCGAAGTCGTCATCGAGCGCTACAACAAGGTCAGTAAATCGCCTCGACCTCGATCACCGACAACATACCATCTGTTGTCGTTGGCTGAGCAACAGCCGGCAACGCCTTATCGGTACCGGCCGGTGCGCTGGCGAAATCGTCGTCCATTCCAAGGAGATCCACTATTGGAGCACGCTCGGGAGCTTTGGGTGTTATGGGCGTAGCCGCAGTTGTCTGGGCGGCGGAGCCTCGTCGCTGCGTAGACGGCCTGGACGAGACCGAGTTCGACCGTCGTGGCAACTCCTCGTCGTCACCTGCGTCGTACTCCTGGAAGCCTCTTCTCCCCGCATCGTCCCGGAAGCCTCCTGCACTAGAGCTCGATCCCGAGTAACTGCTTCCGTAGTCTAGCGACCACAACTTAGTAGAAGCAGAAGAATCATCGCGCATGCTAACGCACCTCCGCTATAGCCTCCGCCTCCGCCTCCATATCCTGAGCCTCCACCGCCATAACCGGCGCTGTCATTGCCGAAGCCGCCATACCGGCCCCCGCCTGATGTGTAGCTCATAGCGTCGTTCCCAATTCCGGTGTACTTGCTCTTGTTTGTCTTCGCCTTCCTGCGCTCAACACGGATTTTGTCCACGTCGCTAAGCAAGTCCACAAGTTCCTTGGACCTATTCCGGACTGCGGGTCTGTCAGGAGGCATAGCTATTTACGCGGCGGCAGCATGACGCACCGTTCAGACCCTGATCTTTGCCCTTGTCATCTACGTAGTAAAAGTTCCGAAGCATCTTGACAGTGGCAATGTGAGAGCGGGCGTCGTCAACGACACGTTCGCTGCCATTCTTCACGAGGTACTCAAGGAGTTGCAGCGCCTACGCTCATTTAGCACCATGTCACCGCGCCATATGGCAGCAGCCTACCTTGTAGATCTGTCGCCATTGTCGTGCCTCCTTCTCCATGAAACGCGCGTAGATGGCCGGCATGATCTCGTTGAAGTTTTGGCTACGTGGCATGAGCGTGTCAACCACTGCAGGAACGGATGATAAACTCACAAGTTAAACGTCCTGTTCAGAGTTGTTCAGACAAGCATATTGAGTGGTCAGAGAGGGCACGTACCCTTGGGAGATCTCTTGCATCAACGTCGAACTCGCGCCCCTTCACGCGCAGTCATCACACCGTCCCTCATGCTCAGCAAGTCCGTGACTCACCATGGCTCGTCGTTCGTCGCCTCCCTGACCTTCGCCTCCATCTCGCTCACATTGAAGACGACATTCTTTGCCTGCACACGGTCATACCCAGTCCGGTTAACTCAAGTCCGCGTTCTCGCCCACACGCGTCCGGATGCGCACCTGGTTGTACATGCTCTTGATGTCGTACATCGTGATCTGCGAGAGCGTTGAGGAGATATTCTCTAGCCGGTCCATGGTGGGCAAGCACGAGTGAGCAGGACGTTACGGATGCGGCGAGGGTTACTGTGAGTGTACGACCGAAGCGGTGGCGAGCCTGAGGCGGTGTGTGACGAATCATCTCGGGATGCATCACATGCAGGTGACATTCCGTGACCAGCGTGACACCGCACCGTTCTCTGTCGTCCCTCTAGCTGCTCTTGACCTAAACCTCCCCGAGGAGTTTTTGATATGAGTTGCACGACAGGCAATGGCCAATATAACGGCGAGGAATAAGTTCAGGAAATACTCCCGACGTGGTCTCCTGTCACGGGGACAATTACTAGCCTTTTATGGTCAGGAACACGTAAGCTGGTCGGTCCGTTTTCCGCCCATATTCCAGCCCGTAATCGGGTTCCTCATTCCGCCCCGGAATATGTCCTGAACAGGCTCGTCTTTGTCATCATATCCTTCCCCAATTCTTGTCCGGAATAGTGTCCCTGTCCCGATCCGGTAAATGTCCTGAATATATGCGCAATAGTCTTCCTGTGCTTACCCTTTTCCGGCGCTGATCATACGCACAATAGTCTTCCTGTGCTTACCCTTTTCCGGCGCTGATCATACGCACAATAGTCTTCCTGTGCCAACCCTATTCCGGCGCCGACTAACCCAGGGATAAGTAGCATATCACGACCCCTCGTTGCAGTAGGCACGAGCTAGAGGTAGGGCTGGGCGCAGTACGTGAGTGTTCCCCGGGAAGGTCGAGGTGCAGTCCCACGGCACCATGGTCCATGGATCACTTCATGATCGTGTTGACCGCGCCCGTTGCGAGCCGTTGCTGAGAAGTAGCTACGACTCAACTACAGTATGTTCCGCAGCTCCGGCGCAGCGACCGACTCGGATGGAGCAACGCGTTCACTCGGTGCTCGGAGCTGCGTTGACTGTAGCAGTAAGTAGCCTGGAGTCCAGACTGCTCTTCTCCGTCGGGAGCTCTAGGAGTTAGTAGTCCTCGGGAGCAACGTGTTCGCTCGGAGTTGTCAGCCCCAACGCCGCTCGATCGACGTACGATAGCTACTTAGTACTTACAGCCTAGGCCGTCGTTCTCCGCCGGGAGCTCTACTCCACGTGCCAGCTCCGGCGCACAACTCTGTAGAGCTCGCCTGGAGCTCGCAGAGCTCCGGTAGCTCCGACTCTCTGCAACGCTGGATCAGAGGTCTCTAATTCTACGGTAGCTGGTTGTAATGTAGCTATACACTTAGAGCTCCATCACGGTACTATCACTTGAATACTACGCCGACGTTGTTTTAACTCTGTGAATCGATCAGCATCGCAGCGAGAAGTCAACGTGAACCACATACACGGTCAAGCGAGCGAACAACGATACAGCTCTCACCGATCTCCTCTGGAACATAAGCAAAGCTGGCAAAATGCGCTACGATGTCGGCGGAGTGTATCAGCGCAGTTTGCTCCGAAAAGCGGTCGTAATAGAGCTGAGTGTCGAGCAAAGGAAACCGCCGGTATGGATCGTTGGCGGCATGGTCTTGCGACAGCGGTACGTACTGGTCGACGATGAAGAACGGCTCCACGACTCGAGCATTGGACTCGGGGTCATTGCGAGAGTGGAGAAAGATAGAGGATATTTGCCCCGCACGTACAAGAGTGCGATCTGCCGACGTTTTGCTTAGAAAACAGATGAACGAGTTTCGGATGTTGCTGTCACGGGTTCCGTACGTTACACCAGATAGGTCGAGCTTGGATACGAAGCGTACAAGAGGCGAGAGACGCATTCGCCGGTCACCGATGGGACTATAGAATGATGCAAAGTCAGTGTTCCGGCCTGCGCAGTTCATGACATCTACAAGGGTGTTGTAGATAACCCTGTCCAATTTAGCATCGCTGAGGCCAGCATAGATGTCCTTGTAGGATACATCCTCGCCGTAGCCAGGGAGCGCACCGAGCACGTCGATGACCCGCGTACCGCGGGCGGCGTCTTGATAGACATTCTTGAACGCGTTTAGGACCTCGTGAATGCTGTCGTCTTTTGGCCAATCTGCCGAAGCTATCCTCCAGCGTAATTCGGCTGCGGCATGGAATATGCGCATATAAGTGAGGGGTATCTTGTCTGATATACCAGAAACTTAGAATGAGCTCATCTCATTGCGTTGAGAACAAACTCATACCTGTCTGATTGTTCGTTTTCAATCGCTGTATGATCCCATTGAAGCGTTCGAACGGATAGGCCCACCAGCCATGCACAGGGCCGAATAGCATGAGACATGTCGAGAGGTGCAGGGATAGGTGATGATTCGGGACAAGGTTGTGTTCAAATAGCTCTCTCAGCGTACGCAGGTACTCTAGCATATGATGGTCGTAGAGACGCGCTCGTTCAGCGCTCATAGAGCGACGGGACGCCAAGTCGACGGCAACGACAAGATGGATGAAATTATCGAGTAAGTGGTGCTCGGCTGTCGACGCTGTGGCACGGCCCCAGATGCGCGTCAGGGTGACGACCATATTGATTGTGCACACCGTCCTCCAATGGTCGGCCTTGAGCTTACCATGGCTGGCACTGCCGAAGTTCAACGGGGGCCGCTCGACCCATGAAGGGAGATACGTGGACTTGATGTCGCAACGCAGTTGATCGACAATTTCGGGAGTCAGGATGCGGAATTTGGATATGTCGTGAGGTCCGTTGGCTAGATGGAAATCAGCCGTGTCGCTCTTGAGAACGGGCGGCACTGCAAGGTGATCGACGCCGTGGTCTCGACACTGCGGCATAACAATGATCACTGGACAGAATAGCAACAGACCAACTATGACTCACCCATGCTAAGAGTGCTTTGGCGTACTCATGCTTTGTTAGCTTTTGCGGCGAGATGCTGTTGAACTGAGCCAACGCAACCAGGTAACCTTTCCGAGGCTGGGCAACAGCTGATAGAACACCTTTGCGCAGCGCGTCAATGAGACGATCGAGGTGCCTCTGCTGTTCCTCAGGCGTGTGCTCCACCGTCTTTTTGACAGTCTTATCTTTATGGTCTTTGATGTCGATTCCCCATACGGCCATGCAGTGATGTCGAAGCTCGCCTAGGAAGAGGTTGTGCATTGCGTCGACTACTGCGTACCGAGTAGGGTCCCAGTAAGGTAGGCGAAGGAGCTCCGACCATCGCAAGCCGTGCTGATCGAATAGCGCGTCTCGCTCCTGATGAGTGGCCGCGCTGCGCCATTGGTGGGCGATGTTCAGGTGCTCTTTCCAGGTGCGGGACGGCCACGGACGTGACAAGTCGTTGATTTCTGGTCGTTTGAGGAGACAAAACGAACAAAAGTGCTTCGAGGAATGGCCTGCGAACCCAGCGGCCTTACGAAGAGCAGGAAGATCGCATATCAGAGGGATAATGGCAGCACGAACGGTCCGTCCAGAAGTATGAAGGGCGGTTTGACTCAGCAGGAGCCCAGAGTGCCACAAGACCAGCATTTCATCGACAGTTGGACGCAAGAAGTGATTGAGTTGGTGTAGGGAGGGCTCATTTGGACCCGGTATGATGCCAACAAGACATATGTTCTCTGCCCGAAAGCGCAGATGAGGGGGAAGATTGATGCATACTAGATATATTGCGCCGAGAGAACGTGACTTCCCCGCTTTCTTATTGCCACCCGGATTGAACCAATCGATGTAAAGACCAAAGACGAGGTTGACGTCGGTGCCGGACTGTGCAGAGAACAGTCTGCCGTCGGGCCCCCGGAAAGTTTGCAGTGCTGGCGCCTGGAGAATGTCCCTCCATTGCCCATCTGAGGGCACCGAGCGGTCCCATGCGCTTTCCACGACCTGCTCGAGATCGCGTCGAGCGAACAGCCCCGCGATCCATGAGAATGCCGTGCGATAGGGAAAGGGCCGAAGAGGGGAATACGTGCATTGTGGCAGGATGTTGTCCGTCGAGCGGCCGCGGCGATCCTTCTTGACAAGCGGACTGCCACACGGCGGGCCATCAGCCTCGACGTATGTACAGCGGAGCGGGTATGGATTGGCAGGGCTGGCAGGGTTCGGGGCATAGATGCAGGAACACGAGGGGCATGCAGCGTATCGCGTAACCTCAGGCTCCAAATTGAGGGTTCTCAACACGGTCCTGACGTCGCGCGGAATAGAGTCGAGTATGCCATGCTGGTCTGCAGTGAGCGGATGTTGGCCACGAGGAGCACTGGCTGCGTTACAAGCGACGAACGCGCCGTAGAGTAGTGCACGTAAAGCTGCCAAGACAAGATTTGCCGCATCGCGACTCAGGCCCGAGAGTGTATGCAAGGCGCTAACTGTGAGAAGGGCAGCGAGAAGGAATGCTGGTAGCGCCTGCTTAGCGGTATGCCATGCGGCTGCAAGGAAGCATGAAAACATGGATGATAGAGTGATGTGTTGTTACACACCTGTTTCATAAACCTTTGGCTGACATACTTGCTCCTGATCCGGTAACTTGTATAAGCCTGCGAGTATCTTCTCCGCCTCCCACGCAGAAGTTTCGATGGAGGAGAGCGATTCTAGTCGCTCAGAGATCCTTTGAATGAGCACTGCTCGACGACTATCGGCATCCCTGTGGCCCAAAGGCGGTAGCGCAACGAGTGTCTGCCGCTTCGTTGTAAGCCAGTCGCGAAACTTGTGAAAGCGACGGCAATCATCGCTTTTCAGTACCAATGCAGGGGGTGATTCCGTGAAAGAAGTGGGTGCAGTGACGAAGACAAGCTTGGGGTCCTTGACGAGACGTGATTCAACGGACAGGGATGACTCAAGGAGTGAGAGCTCTGATAGTCTTCGTGCAACCGCAGCACCCTAGAGCGCTGAGTGAGTATTCACAATGTCCATGGAGCGCCAATACGACACGTACATT